GACCCTGGGACCATGACCTGAGCCGAAGGCAGACGCTTAAGGGCTGAGCCACCCAGGAGCCCCTAAAACTCAAAATTTATTTACATTTTTCAGTGGAGGGATCAGTTTATTTTTTTTAATTTTTTAAAAAAGATTTTATTTATTCATTCAAGACACAGAGATACAGAGAGAGAGAGAGAGCATGAGCAGGAAGCGAAGCAGAGGGAGAATCAGGCTCCCCACTGAGCCAGGAGCCAGATGTGGGGCTCGATCCCAGGACCCTGGGATCATGACCAGAGCTGAAGGCAGACGCTTAACCATCTGAGCCACTCAGGGGCCCCAATAATGTAGTTTAATACATAAAGTGGCATATGAATAGTGGCAACACCAAAGAGAGGCTCAGGAAACCAAGAAGTAACTATGTGTAAAATATTGTAGTTTGGAGATGGATAGAAAGAAAAATTAGGAATGGCCCCCACTTTCAAAGGAGATTTTAACCTGGTAGAGTATGACTTACTGAAGGGAGGAGCAAATCAGATTTAGGGAGGGAACAAGACAGAGGTTGTGGGGAAAGTGCTGAAGGTGAGCTGCAAAGGGAAGGTTGTACCCCTGTGGTTCTGAGAACAGAAATGTTGTTGTTGGGATGTCTTTTAATCCCCATCCTTGCAGAGGGACCAATGTTCTACCATCTAGGTTGGAGGGAGAATTTGTGAAGAAATTCCACCCAAATCTGGAATCTGATAGCACTCATTAGTCCACCCATTGTGTCTAGTAGTTTCATGCCATCTGAACTTCAGTGGTTCTTAAACTTTGGAACAGCATTTGTCCCTTAGAAAATGTGAATAAACTATGGTTCCTCCTCACAAGTGGAAGGAGTGGGGTGGGGGGAGAAGCAGATAAGCAACTTCAGGGACTTCCTTCCAAAGTCTTTAGGCAATCACCTAACCTCTGTGTGTCTCAGTTTCTCAGTTTGTAAAATGGGAATGACAATACTTACTCCACAAAGTAACTGCAAGAATTAAATGCAATAATTATATGAAGTATCTAGCACAGATTCCAGGGCAAATGTTCAATAAATAACAGCCATTCTTTTATTCTTTCTTCCTTTTGTTTTCTGTGAGACTGTGTCCTTCTTTCACTGTGACTGATGAGACACGGACAAAGTTGGGGGATCGAACAAGGACTGTTCACCAAGGAAGATGAAGGACATAAAGGGTATGGAGAGTTGAATTTCATGCTCAGGCATAAAACATGATACAGTAAGGAAACCTGGGAATGTCACAGGAAGTTATCTGTGGGAATGTCTAGGAAAATTCTATTAAAAAAAACCCATAAAGATGTTGCTCTAGCTGTAAATATTTTGCGGAATTAATATAATAACATTAAATAGCACTAATTTCAATAACAATGTCAAATGTACATATATGGAGAACTTACTATGGGCCAGGCATTGTGCTTAGCTTAGCTTGCATAAATCACCTCATTTAATTCACACAACAATATGGAATCATACTGTCCATAATACCTCATCTGAAATTTTATAATAAAAAATCTCTGAAAATTAAAATTTTGAAATAATTGATTCAGCAACAAAATCTGACCTGAACTGACATGTGGCTATTCTTAGTCTTTATTTCTCTCTCTTAAAATGAATATTCATACATTTTGCTATAGAAAGCTTAACGTTTGGTCATGAGGTGTTTCTTAGATCCCACTTGGGTAATGCTCTGTATTGCCATTATAAAAAAGTCTCCAAATTTCAAAACTCACCTGGCCTCCAGGATTTTAGATAACGTAGGGTAGACTTTGAGAAAAGCTAATATTTATTGAGAACTTGCTGTGTGTCAAGTTTTGGTCCAAGTTCTATTGATCTTAGTTCATTTATCCTCATAATAATCCTGAAAGGCACATACATTTATCATCCTTCTTGCTTTATACTTGAGGCACCTGAGGTACAGTGAGGTCAAGGAACTCAAAGGTACCAGCTAGTTACTCAGAAACACAGAATTTGGATCCAGGCAGTGTGGATGTGGGAAGCTTTTGCTTCATTGCTACACATACTGCCTCATTTATATTATTGCAACTGTTATTCTCACTCTGTAAATGAATATTTTAAAAATGGAGATTAAGTAATTTTATCCAAGAGAGAGTGTCTGTGTGATCTTGGGCAGGTTGCTTAACCTCTCTGTGTCTCAGCTTTCCTTTCTGTAAAATAGGGGTAATGATAATACATAGGACATAAGCTTGTTAGAAGGGTTAAGTTTAAAGCATTTACAGCAGTACATACATAGACCAGTGATTATACACCTTACACAATCATTATGTTTTAGCTCTTACTATTATTAAAACTAGGCCATGGGGATGCTAATAAGGATGAGGAGGATATAATGATAGGTAATTCTCATGCAAAGACTTACTATAGAAAATAATATTTTTTTCAGGTATTAAATCAGTGTTTTCTTTATTTTTTGTTTCCTAGTCCTAGATGTTTACCGGCTGCTTTACCTGTTGAATCAATGGTACTGCTTCAGAGTGAAAGTAGGTACAGAACAAAGAGTTCTTTTATTCCTCTTTGAGTCCTCAAGCTGACTTCTTTCAATCCATTGCAAAAGTTTAGTCAGGAAGGCATACTTTGTTAAAGAACAAGAGTGTTTTTAAATTCCAAAAACTTCTCTTTACAGTTGAAAGTCTGGTTTGATTCACTCAATTCCTATAGTATTGTATTTATAAGAAGACACAGCATAAAAAGAAAAGAGACTATACTCAAAGGAAGTTTCCTTATGACAGGAAGGAAACTTTCCTTCACTAAGAAGAATAGGATTTGGAAACTAGAGAAAAAGAAGGAGAGTATAGATATTAGTGACCTACCTACCTACTTGGGTACTAATGCCCTGGGGAGAGGGAAGAGGGAATGCTGTAAACTGCTTAGCAAAGCTTTATATTCAGCCTTGTGTTGGTGCTATGTAGTCAAAAGCAATGTCTGAGGAAATGTTTGAAGGCTGCCTCAATTCTGCATACTGTGGCATGATGAGGAAAATCAGCTCATGGCTCTTGGGTCTCCAATGAGGATCATAGATTTGAGCCAATCAGCAGAATGAAAAAGAGTCACTGTGGGGACATTAGGATGAGGAAACATGACAAGATCCAGAGGCACTAACAGATATGACACCACAGAACAAGACCAGACCAGTCATACCTCAGAAGGCACTGTTGTGGGCTATCCAGTGATGAGAAAAGGAAAGGAAAATTCCAGAAGACAGCACGTGGACCTCCCAATACACACCATGCTGCCATAGACCCAGAAGCCAGTTGTAAAGGAAAGAAAGTTAGAGAAGACTCTGTAGAGGGGAGACACAGTTGTGACTAACATTTAATTGACTGATTTATTTCCCTAAAATATTTTAAAATCAAAAGAAGTTGAGTTAGTTTTATTTGACCAATTTTATTTTTTCCATCTAGTAGAAGGACTTGGACTCCAGAGGATTTGTGAGATTAAATAACAAAGGCAGCTAGCTTTTTTTTTTCTTTTTTTTAAAGTTGAATTTACATTCAATTCTATTATATGTCAAAAACACTAAATTTCAGGATTTTCTAAAACCAACCTCCATTCTAAGTTTTGTCAGAATTTGGCCACAAGGGATAACAAGGACATGTAATTATGCTCCATCCATAAACAACTAGAAAACTGGACAAAATTTAGGAAATAACTATTTTAAGAAACTTGATGGTAAGCAGTACAGGACAATAATTATCTTGGAGGAAAGAGAAACAAATGAGGTGAGCTCTACCTTTGCAGAATTTGTGTAATTTCCACTGAAGTACAGGAAGGGAAATCCAAACAAAACTTGGGTATATCAGTGAATTGAGGAGACAGAAACTATCATTTGGAGAAGCCAAGGCAATTAGAATATGTGGGGCAGACTGCCTAAGAGGAGGGAGCTATGCAGAAGTGCTCCAGATATCTTCATAGGAGTCCCATCAAGTCTTTGGCTGAATTTCAATATACAAATAAATCACTGGGCATGAACAATTTCAGAGGACAGAACAATTACCAGCAAGCTGTATGCTGAACAATTCCTGGAGCTAGTAAAGGTCTGAGAATCATTCAAGTTCCCATAAGCCCAAATGAAGAGATCATCATGAACATATAATACATTTAGTGGAGAGCCCAGAAAAACCTCACCTTAAAAGTGGGGCTAAATGAGCATTAAAAATATACTAAATTCACCCAAAAAGATATAACAAAATTCAGCATTCAAGAACATACAACCATGATATTCTGCATCCCACTAAAATCGCTACATATATGAAGAAGCAGAAAAATGCGACCCATAACTTGGAGAAAAGTCAGTAAATAAAACAGACCCAAAATTAAAAAGATAATCAAATTAATCAATAGACAAGAACTTTAAAACAGCACAAATCCAATATACATATTGGATAGTGATACAAGTGTCCAGAATGAGGCACAGAGAAAAACAAAGGCTGAAAAAAATTAGTCTTTAGTGACCTCTGAGACAATAACAAATGATTTAACACTTGTACAACTGGAATTCCAAAAGAGAAGGGAAGCAAGAGAAAAAAATATTTGATGAATGGCCAAACTTTTTTCAAATTTGATTTAAAAAGTTATGAACTTTCAGAACCAAAAGACAAACTGAAACCCAAGTAAAATAAACATCAATCAAATCTGTCCAAGTCTTATTGTAATCAAACTGCCAAAAAGGTGGTAAAGAAGGAATCTTAAGAGGAGGAGCAAGATGGCGGAGGAGTAGGAGACCTGGATTTCGTCTGGTCCCAGGAATTCAGCTGGATAGGGATCAAACCATTCTGAACACCTACGAACTCAACAGGAGATCGAAGAAAATAGCAACAACTCTCTGAACAGAAAAGTGACCACTTTCTGGAAGGTAGGAAGTGCGGAGAAGTGAATCCGAGGCGATATTC